AGAGAGAGAGAGAGAGAGAGAGAGAGAGACTCAACGCACATACATGCAAAAACTCAGTTTTCGACCTCCATTGCTTTCCCCAACCACTGTTGTTCTGACTCATTCACGCCTCAGCGTGGCTCGTTTCCTTTCCCATTTCCCCCAAATCAAGTGGGATTCAAATGTCGCAAAGTTAGATTTATTGATGGCGAGGATAATTTTCCCGTCTACTTCAACTGCAGTTCTCTTAATTTCACGCACTGCTGTAGTGTCTCCTTCCTTTTGAAGTTTTTTTTCATTTTTTGTACTTCCTATTTTTGTCTTCGTTTGTGGATGCTGTCTGTTTTACCCCCCCCCCTCTCTCTCTCTCTCTCTCTCTCTCTCTCTCTCTCTCTCTCTCTCTCTCTTTCTCTATCTGTGTTTCTCAAGAGCCTGTCTTTCTAATTTTTTTTATTTTTTAATTTCACTCTTTCTTTTTTTTTCTTTCTTTCTTGCGTTATGTCTTTCTCCTTTCCTTTTTTCCCTTTCACTTTCAGTCTCTTTATTTATCAAAATGTTTTAACACCACCCCCGTCCCTCCCCACCTTTACTATAACACGATCAACCTTGGTTCTAATAAACAATCCTGCACTGTGAACTTCACATCCCCTCAGAGAGAACCTTCTCAGCCAAGCTGGTATAGCACTTTGTTCAAAAAGGACACAAACAAGGAATTTGAACCTCAAATCAGTTTCTTAGGGGAAAAAGGAAGAAATTAAAATGAGGCTGACAAAATAATCTAACAAACAACAAGAAAGAAAATGAAAGCACACGCTGTCTTTCCGACAAGAGAGCAAAGTTTGTGTACTGATAAAACTAAGACTTGCTGACTTACATACATATTGTCTTGGTTGTTTTTTTAAGCTGTTGGTCCAGCATAATACTTCCGTATGACTCTCCAACCTTTACTTTCCTTCAATATAGGCTGTATTCTTGCAATGTTTTTCTTTTGCTTTTTCTCTATAGGCCTACTTTAAGTCTGTGAAAATAAACACAACTGTTCGTTTTTAATTTGTAAAGTTGGCTGAATTTTGAAATACTTATGTTTCAAACATGTCAGTCGATTTTCTTCTCATTGGTAGATTTGTTTGATGTACCTTGGCTGAAATAGATTAATTTGCTCCAAGTTTTGTTAAAACTTGTCCAAAGTTGGCCGAGTTATTGTACTTTGAATTGATTTTTTTGTAATCACCCTGTACATAAATGCAATGCAATAGTGATTCACAATGATATTCATAACCATTGACAATCAACGCACCAATGCTGGTCGCCACTGTGCAGAGCCCTGCTATTTGGTTACGGTTACCATACGTAGTTGGAAGACACACCCATATAAACGCCGTGTCACCGACACACGCTTGACAAAATTGTGAACCTGAGACCATTAAACACAAAGGCACTGGGAACCCCCCC